TTCTCAATGTTATTATTATCAATGAACTTTCTTCAGACTTACTGCATTCACATCTCAGCTTTTACAGAACATTTAACTTTACTTATTACTTTCTGTTATCTGCTCTGAGAGTTTTGTTAAATGACAAAGGTTAGATAAAGTGGGATTAGCTGTGCTAGACACACCTTATAGAATGTTTAACATAGTTTTCTTTGTATTACATTTAACATTTTCACATTTTGATTAAAGAACCAATTTTCTAGCTATTTATTGTTTGTTTGAAGTATTCATTTAATTTTTTACTTATTTATTTGTATTTTCATAAACATTAGTATTTGACTGTATTCTTGATAATTTCCTAGTACTTAACCCTACATCTTAAAAGTATCATGTGTTGTGGCAATTTATCTAAGATGCCAAGCTCCTCTAAAGTTACACTGTAGGAGCTGTTTAATGGGTCTTCATTAGTCACAAGACATTTTAGGGAAGGCTGTGGAAAGTTCAGCTTATATGTAGTTACATAATGTTACACTGTTCAGCGAGCATTGAATCTACGACAGTACTTGAAGACAACAGCTAGTGTTTTTATGTTTTCTACATAAGGTATATTCTATTACTACATTCATTAAAAGTATTAGTTACAATGTTTAATATATTTAATTTTATTGTTTTTGATTATACTTTTTCTATTATTATACTTTTATTATAGAGATTGTTTCACTTTATTAACTTAAACGAATGTATTTAGGACTAACCTAAATCTCCTAATGTGGGCATACCTCATGAGATATCATTAAGTTTATGGCTGAAAACATTGTTAACAGCAAAGGTACACAACTGATAAAACAATGAATTCTAATCTTTATAAGCAAGGAAGTTGACAATGTTTGATAAAGTCCAGGTTTCTAAATTTCCCCCTTTATAATTTTGCTGGTCCCATAGAAATTAACAAGTATGACACCATTTTTACAAACATATTTAGTGTATAATTTATATATTAATTGTTCTGTTACCTGTCAGTTTTTCAAAAGAAAGCAATATTTTAGGTATTCAACCAATGTTGATATTTATATTTGATTTGATTTTGGTATGTTTTTTTGCTCACTGAAGCAATTACATAACCTAAACAAAAACAAAAAGTTCTCTCAGAACTGATAATTTTGATAATGATTTACCATCAAATGTTATTGTGTAGCATAATACAGGCCACTGTGTTCATGGGTGATAAGCACGGTTACATGGTTGATTGGAGTAGAGTAAGTATTTCTTTAGCTTTCAAAAGGAAATTATATAGTAAAAATCTGCTATCATCAACAAGAAAATCTTCACAAGAAACAATAATAAATTCCTATGCTTCTAATTACCTGGGAAGTGTTTTTAAAGTCACTGTATTCAAACTTCAAGTGAGGCTTTAGCAGACTACCCATTGAAAACTTGTAAATGTCAAAACTTCTATTTTCAAGATTACGACACTTATGATAAA